CCCCAAAACCCCAAAACCCCAAAACCCCAAAACCCCAAATCAGACGCATGAAATTGAAAATGACTTTAGGATGTAAGCCTATTATCTTCTTTCCACAGTTCAGGAGCATCTCTCCATCTGATTAGCTTTGGTTCTGAATTCTGAACAACTCTTTACTTCCATCAGAGATGTTTCTACCTGCATTAGATCTTTGATTTATGTTCAACTTCTCCATTAATATCTTCAGATCAGCTTCAATCTCAGGATCATTGTATGGCTTCTTCATGTAAGGATGAGAGCGCTTGTTTTCTTGGAACCACAAAGTCTCCATTTTTCTCCACTGATAAGATAGGATTATGTTTCTCTTAACACTATTCTCGATCGCAGAAGTCTCATAAATAGTGGCTTCGTTCTGGTATAATTCAAGTCTTTCCACAGGATGGAGCTCACTATAAGGCTTCATCAGAGCATTCAAGAATTTGTATTGAGGATGAGCCTTATCTTCATCATCTTTCTCTTCAGCCTCTCTTTGTTTTTCAATGAGCTTGGTCAAGTTGTCTCTGATACTTCTCGGCATACCTCCTTTTCCTTCAGGAATTTTGACAAGATGTTTCTCAGCGCTTTCCATTAATTCCCCAGGTTTCTTCCCAATTGTTTGTTTTGAGACAACATTCCATTCATTATTCGTTCCCCAGATAGACTGGAATAATGAAAGAAGTCTATAATGGTAATTTTAATGATACAATACCTTCTTTTCTCTAAATACTCACAATGATCCTTCAGGAATAAGTCACATATAAGCTTGAACTTAGACTGCTTGTTTTTATTGTAGTTCATCAGAAGTCCTTTACTTAGTCTTTTCTCAAACTTCCTGATTGACTCAGATTCATTTGGATTATTCCTTTTCTTCAGCCTCTCTAGATGATTGAGCATTTCTCAATAAGTCTTGAAAGTATTCTTCCTGTACTCAGAATCTTTCTCTGTTATCTGAATGAACTGGATTTCAGATTCATCGGTCTTTTGTTTCTTTTCCTCACGACTATCACTTTCTTTGGCAGAAGCATCTTCACCATCCATCGGATCATCAGCTTTATCATCTTCTTTTTCAGGAGAAGAGTCTCTTTTACGCTTTCTAGCCATTCTTTCCTCCTTATGTTCTTCAGTCGATTGAGTGTATCTCTCTTTTATTAATTCTTCAACAGAGATAGTCTTCTTCGTGTTCACGCTAAGTAGAGCAGGAAGTTTCCTTGTCTCCTTTTCATAAGGAAGCCTATCCTCTAACTTCCTCTTTGGCTCTTCATTTTGTTGCTGGCTTGCAGCCTGGCTTCTTTGATCTTGTCCCTCAGGGAAATCTGGAGTTTCAGGAAGAAGTTCAGATATTGCTTTAATTTCCATATCTATCTTATCTTCAACATATTCAAAAACAGGCTGTTCGAAGTCTTCGCCTAACTCTTCTTCTTGCTCTACACATTTGATCTCGTACTTAGTGAAAGGACCTCTCATTACTTCAATTTCTTTCTCATCAGTGACTAATTTATTGGAGATCAAGAAGTTTTTAGCTTCTTCAATAGCATTATTACTTCTAGTTGAGGGGTAAAAGCTTTGTAGTAAGTCTATCTCAATATCTCTTTCTTTTTCTTCAATTTCATCTCCATCTGGAAGAGCTACTGGGTCATCCATCTTTCGAGGGTAGAAATAATCCTGGCTCTTTACCTCCGCTGCATTTTCTTCCTCATTCCCAGCTACATCTTGGATTTTGAAAAATGTAGGGTCTAACTCATTAAGGACAGGCATGAACTCATCCTTTTCTGGCTCTTTTCCAAAAGTAATCGGAAGATCTTCTTCCTTAAATTCGCTCTTTTGAGCTCTTATGTCAAATGTAGATGGTTCTACATTATCAGCCTCGTTGTTTTTAAGAGTCTCTTCATATTCTTTCTTTAATTTGTTGATGTTTCTCTCATTAAGCTGGTAATCAAACCCATTCTTATGGATAGTCTCACTAATATTGATGACTACTTCAGGGTTCAGGTTCACTCTTTTGTTGTTCTTGATCTTACTGAAGGTGGACTGAATCATAGAACCCATCTGAAGACTTATGAGTCTCAGCCCAAGCTCCTTTTTCTCCTTCTTCTGGGTTCTATTTCCAGCTACATCTGAGATCTCATGGATGAACTTAGTCGCAAGAGATTTCTTGAGCTTGATTTCTTCCTTGAAGTCAATGTACATGTACTCAGCTTCATCAAGGACATAATCCCAGTGAGTTTTGACTCTTTCAGGCTCTTCATGCTTTTGCTTGTATGGCTCAAGAAAGGCTCTGATTCCTTTTCCCTCTCTAGATTTGAGTTTATCCCACTTTGTCTTGTAATCTTTGTATCTCAAAGGGACTCTTTCTTGGCCTTGACTAAGGGCTTTGATAATATCACTCTTAGTGAGATGCTTCTGTCTATAGCTAGAAGGTCTATTGGGCCGATATCTAGCATGAACATTATTGTTTATCATATAGCTTGGCCGAGGCTGTCCTCCTCTTTGATAGCCTGCAGAAGCTCTTCCAGATTCGCTTCCACCTCTTGGGTTATTAGCTCCAACAGAAGCTCTGGAGCTCTGGCTCATCTGCATTCTTCTAAGGTCTTCAGGAGTAATATTTGCTATATTAAGGTACTTCTTCGAATTGAGAAAGGTTTTACCATTAATAGTAATTACAAAGAGGTTAGAATTTCCTTATAGATGTATGTGAAGGGTTTAAAAAGAACCCATTTTCTCACAATTTTTTAAAATATAGAGATCTCTATGGAAAAATTTCTACTAAGTTTCCCTATAAAAGGCGTAGAATCAAGAGAGAATATCTTTCCATAGCCTTCACCGAAAGATTCTAAGTTATCCCTTACCTCTATTGGGGAGATGACCTCTTGGAGTTTGTCCTGACGGATTCATCTTTGTTTTTATATTAATTATATTATTTATAAAAAGGAGATTTAAGTATTGCGGGGTTTTGGGGTTTTGGGGTTTTGGGGTTTTGGGG